CTGTATATGTATTGGGTCCGAAGACCATTCCATCCTTGTCAAGGGGAATGCTAACTGTATATGTATTGGGTCCGAAGACCATTCCATCCTTGTCAAGGGGAGTGCTAACTGTATATGTATTGGGTCCGAAGACCATTCCATCCTTGTCAAGGGGAGTGCTAACTGTATATGTATTGGGTCCGAAGACCATTCCATCCTTGTCAAGGGGAGTGCTAACTGTATATGTGTTGAGTCCGAAGACCATTCCATCCTTGTCAAGGGGAGTGCTAACTGTATATGTGTTGGGTCCGAAGACCATTCCATCCTTGTCAAGGGGAGTGCTAACTGTATATTTATTGGGTCCGAAGACCATTCCATACTTGTCAAGGGGAGTGCTAACTGTATATGTGTTGGGTCCGAAGACCATTCCATCCTTGTCAAGGGGAGTGCCTTAACTGTATATGTATTGGGTCCGAAGACCATTCCATCCTTGTCAAGGGGAGTGCTAACTGTATATGTATTGGGTCCGAAGACCATTCCATACTTGTCAAGGGGAGTGCTAACTGTATATTTATTGGGTCCGAAGACCATTCCATACTTGTCAAGGGGAGTGCTAACTGTATATGTGTTGGGTCCGAAGACCATTCCATCCTTGTCAAGGGGAGTGCTAACTGTATATGTGTTGGGTCCGAAGACCATTCCATCCTTGTCAAGGGGAGTGCTAACTGTATATGTATTGGGTCCGAAGACCATTCCATACTTGTCAAGGGGAGTGCTAACTGTATATGTATTGGGTCCGAAGACCATTCCATCCTTGTCAAGGGGAGTGCCTTAACTGTATATGTATTGGGTCCGAAGACCATTCCATCCTTGTCAAGGGGAGTGCTAACTGTATATGTGTTGGGTCCGAAGACCATTCCATCCTTGTCAAGGGGAGTGCCTTAACTGTATATGTATTGGGTCCGAAGACCATTCCATCCTTGTCAAGGGGAGTGCTAACTGTATATGTGTTGGGTCCGAACACCATTCCATCCTTGTCAAGGGGAGAGTGCTAACTGTATATGTGTTGGGTACAAAGACCATTCCATCCTTGTCAAGGGGAGTGCTAACTGTATATGTATTGGGTCCGAAGACCATTCCATCCTTGTCAAGGGGAGTGCTAACTGTATATGTGTTGGGTCCGAAGACCATTCCATCCTTGTCAAGGAGGGAGTGCTAACTGTATATGTGTTGGGTCCGAAGACCATTCCATCCTTGTCAAGGGGGGAGTGATAACTGTATATGTGTTGGGTACAAAGACCATTCCATTCTTGTCAAGGGGAGTGCTAACTGTATATGTGGTGGGTCCGAAGACCATTCCATTCTTGTCAAGGGGAGTGCTAACTGTATATGTGGTGGGTCCGAAGACCATTCCATCCTTGTCAAGGGGAGTGCTAACTGTATATGTGTTGGGTACAAAGACCATTCCATCCTTGTCAAGGGGAGTGCTAACTGTATATGTGTTGGGTACAAAGACCATTCCATCCTTGTCAAGGGGAGTGCTAACTGTATATGTGTTGGGTACAAAGACCATTCCATCCTTGTCAAGGGGAGTGCTAACTGTATATGTGTTGGGTACAAAGACCATTCCATCCTTGTCAAGGGGAGTGCTAACTGTATATGTGTTGGGTACAAAGACCATTCCATCCTTGTCAAGGGGAGTGCTAACTGTATATGTGTTGGGTACAAAGACCATTCCATCCTTGTCAAGGGGAGTGCTAACTGTATATGTGTTGGGTACAAAGACCATTCCATCCTTGTCAAGGGGAGTGCTAACTGTATATGTGTTGGGTACAAAGAGCATTCCATCAGTGTCAAGGGGAGTGCTAACTGTATATGTGTTGGGTACAAAGACCATTCCATCCTTGTCAAGGGGAGTGCTAACTGTATATGTGTTGGGTACAAAGACCATTCCATCCTTGTCAAGGGGAGTGCTAACTGTATATGTGTCGGGTACAAAGAGCATTCCATCCTTGTCAAGGGGAGTGCTAACTGTATATGTATTGGGTACAAAGACCATTCCATCCTTGTCAAGGGGAGTGCTAACTGTATATGTGTTGGGTACAAAGACCATTCCATCCTTGTCAAGGGGAGTGCTAACTGTATATGTGTTGGGTCCGAAGACCATTCCATCCTTGCCAAGGGGAGTGCTAACTGTATATGTGTTGGATACAAAGACCATTAGATCCTTGTCAAGGGGAGTGATTACTGTATATGTGTTGGGTACAAAGACCATTCCATCCTTGTCAAGGGGAGTGCTAACTGTATATGTGTTGGGTCCGAAGACCATTCCATCCTTGCCAAGGGGAGTGCTAACTGTATATGTGTTGGGTCCGAAGACCATTCCATCCTTGTCAAGGGGAGTGCTAACTGTATATGTGTTGGGTCCGAAGACCATTCCATCCTTGTCAAGGGGAGTGCCTTAACTGTATATGTATTGGGTCCGAAGACCATTCCATCCTTGTCAAGGGGAGTGCTAACTGTATATGTGTTGGGTACAAAGACCATTCCATCCTTGTCAAGGGGAGTGCTAACTGTATATGTGTTGGGTACAAAGAGCATTCCATCCTTGTCAAGGGGAGTGCTAACTGTATATGTATTGGGTACAAAGACCATTCCATCCTTGTCAAGGGGAGTGCTAACTGTATATGTGTTGGGTCCGAAGACCATTCCATCCTTGTCAAGGGGGGAGTGATAACTGTATATGTGTTGGGTACAAAGACCATTCCATTCTTGTCAAGGGGAGTGCTAACTGTATATGTGGTGGGTCCGAAGACCATTCCATTCTTGTCAAGGGGAGTGATTACTGTATATGTGGTGGGTCCGAAGACCATTCCATCCTTGTCAAGGGGAGTGCTAACTGTATATGTGTTGGGTACAAAGACCATTCCATCCTTGTCAAGGGGAGTGCTAACTGTATATGTGTTGGGTACAAAGACCATTCCATCCTTGTCAAGGGGAGTGCTAACTGTATATGTGTTGGGTACAAAGACCATTCCATCCTTGTCAAGGGGAGTGCTAACTGTATATGTGTTGGGTACAAAGACCATTCCATCCTTGTCAAGGGGAGTGCTAACTGTATATGTGTTGGGTACAAAGACCATTCCATCCTTGTCAAGGGGAGTGCTAACTGTATATGTGTTGGGTACAAAGACCATTCCATCCTTGTCAAGGGGAGTGCTAACTGTATATGTGTTGGGTACAAAGACCATTCCATCCTTGTCAAGGGGAGTGCTAACTGTATATGTGTTGGGTACAAAGAGCATTCCATCCTTGTCAAGGGGAGTGCTAACTGTATATGTGTTGGGTACAAAGACCATTCCATCCTTGTCAAGGGGAGTGCTAACTGTATATGTGTTGGGTACAAAGACCATTCCATCCTTGTCAAGGGGAGTGCTAACTGTATATGTGTTGGGTACAAAGAGCATTCCATCCTTGTCAAGGGGAGTGCTAACTGTATATGTATTGGGTACAAAGACCATTCCATCCTTGTCAAGGGGAGTGCTAACTGTATATGTGTTGGGTACAAAGACCATCCCATCCTTGTCAAGGGGAGTGCTAACTGTATATGTGTTGGGTCCGAAGACCATTCCATCCTTGCCAAGGGGAGTGCTAACTGTATATGTGTTGGATACAAAGACCATTAGATCCTTGTCAAGGGGAGTGATTACTGTATATGTGATGGGTACAAAGACCATTCCATCCTTGTCAAGGGGAGTGCTAACTGTATATGTGTTGGGTCCGAAGAACTTTCCATCCTTGCCAAGGGGAGTGCTAACTGTATATGTGTTGGGTCCGAAGACCATTCCATCCTTGTCAAGGGGAGTGCTAGCTGTATATTTTTTGGGTCCGAAGAACTTTCCATCCTTGTCAAGGGGAGTGCTAACTGTATATGTGTTGGGTCCGAAGACCATTCCATCCTTGTTAAGGGGAGTGCTAACTGTATATGTGTTGGGTCCGAAGACCATTCCATCCTTGTCAAGGGGAGTGATAACCGTCTCTCCTTTTTTTTTCAACACAACAGTGGTGGAGTGATGTAAAACGTCGATTCTTTTTATAGCTATGACCCAGTATCGAATCTCCCGCATTGGGCACTTTTTTTTCTTAAGAAAAACATATATATCTTCAAAATGGCCCCAATATTTTTGCAAATGGTCAAACACAACTAGTGAAGACAAGTAACAAAATGGAATCTATGGAGACTTATAAATGTTAAAGTCGAACTGCTTTATGCATGTGTAGACATGTGATGGACTTATAGTAAAAAAAAGTTTATAACTATTACCCACCATGATTATCATGGCCTGTATCACGTGTACTTGTAATAATACATATAAAACAGATGACACAGTCTCTAATAAGAGTTTCTTCAGAGTTTAGAATATAGAAACGTAAGAAAAAATACTCTAATGACTCCCGACTCTTGCTAAAGTCTAACTCCACCAGCGAGAGTGAAAGTAACCAAACAAATCTCTGGTACATTTGTAAGTCAAAAGTCGAGCTGATTTTCTACATATGTGGACACAATTCCTTTCTTCCTTTACTGAATATATACAAATAGGTTTTAGAGAGCTACTAAACAATGTGTGCTTGACGCAATATTTCAAATATTAAAAAATATTTTTTTTTATACTGTCCTCTAAGCTTATAGTATCCTTAAATGCCTTAATTAAGAATTCCACTAAAGTTCAAGCTATATATGCAAAACTGTCCAATACAATAGTAGAGCGGTATGGTAGATCAAACTGGCGAAACCGCTGGTAGGGTTCACTATTGATGAGCCAAGCCCTCCCTGACCTGGCCTGACCTTTTCAGTAAGGCCCGTAGGGTAATGTTTCAGTTTCAGAAAATAAACACATGTATATGAATTTGAATAAATTGTGTATATGCAAACTCTGTTCTGGGAGCCAGTAGAAATGTCTTGATATGTAAATAAGTAAACATTAAGTGTATTTACAACCTTCACTGTATATTGTGCACCTACGGCCAATTCCATGTTGAAAACACCGGTTCTCGTCTAATCAACAAAGTTAAGCAATGTTGGGTCCTGTCAGTACTTGGGAGGGTGACCACTTGGGTGCTGTAGGTTATTCCTTTTTTCAGCAAAGACCTGGGATCGAATCCCGCACTGGACACTTTTTTTTTAGAATATAAAATTACTCCAATGTCCTCTAGAAATTCTAGAAAAAAAATCCAACCTCAATGAGTGCAAATCAGGGGGCTCTGGCACACTCTCAAGTGCAAAATTTGAACTGCTTTGCACATATGTAGACATATGGTGCACTTACAGCAAAAGCATTCGCTAACTACTACCCACCATGATTATCATGGCCTGTACCACGTGTACTAGGGATAACAATAAAAAAAAACTGTATATTGGAACTGAATTGTTGTATTTGCCTATTGTTGTATTGTTAATTGCTGTACTACTGCAAATCACTAAAAGGGGCTCTGGCACATTTGTAAATGCAAAAGTCGAAATGCTTTCCACATGTGTAGTCATGTGACACACTTACAGTAAAAGCAGTCGCTTATTACTACTCACCATGATTATCATGGCCTCTACCACGTATACTAGGGATAATAATGAAAAGAAAACTGTATATTAGAACTGAATTGTTGTTCTTGTTAGAGAAAAAGAGGGTGAATATATGTAAATAAACATTTATATATTAAGAAAAAGGCTTCTCCTTATCGTGCAACTGAAAGTTGCTGATGGCTTGCGCCATCTATCGGAATAAATATCAACTATTCTCGTTGATTTTTAATTCTTCCAGAATTGGCCAAATACCCATTCTTGATTAATCAAGAAAAGCTAACCACGGACGCGTTTCGGGCTGTTGGCCCTCATCAGCGTGGTGCAAACTGTACCTCAACGACCAAAAAAATTGGTTATTAAGGCATCCCGAAAAATCATGAAACGGGTAGTTAAGGCCAGAATTGCGTGAGAACGCAGCAACTTTCAGTTGCACGATAAGGAGAAGCCTTTTTCTTAATTTATGCACCTTATCCCAGTACAATATTACATTTGTACTATTTTTTTCACATTGATATAGTAGCCAAAAACCTAATTTGTATATCGTTTATTTGAAATGTCAAAGGATGTTATACCTCAAATTCTGTCACGTTATGCAGAGTAATTAACGAAGAACTTGTGTCGGGATTTAATTATTGTAATTATACTCGGCAAGATGGCGAAAACGTAATTTTTACCAAACGAATCTTTCCTCTAAATTAACAAGTTGAGACATTTTTGTTGTTGTTTCATTTTTTCCCCCTTCAGTAGCCCTGCTACAAATTAAAAAAAAACAACGAGAATTTAAAAAAAAAATAAGAAAAGTTTTAAACAAAAAAAAAGGAGAAAATTAAACTTTTCTGAATATTTTTCTAAGTATGAAAGGAATGGAAAGAGAGGTGTAATACTAGAAAACCGCCATTAACTAAAAATTTGAAGAAATATGTTTTCTTAATTGGCGACTTTCTAGATTTTTTCTTTTTTTCCCTTCTTTTAGATGGCTTACTTGTTGAAAAGAGGATTTTATTTCTTAGTTTTCACATTTTTAAATTCCCGCTTTCCACTTGTTTCTTTAAACGGTATAACAAGTTTTATATATACTACATTCTCTTTCACAAAAATACAATTTTCTGAAGTACCTACACTCTTCTGACAATAATAAAATTTGCATATCCCAGAAATAATTATGCAACTTTTTTTAATAGTAGAAAGAGAAAAATACTTAAGTATATATCACAATTCGAAACTATTATAGACGCGTAAGATTCTTTTTAAAAATAAACAATTTCTACTGTCCTTACTGCAATGGAAAAATTAATGGGAGGGCCTGGCTCGCCAGTTTAATCTACCATACTGCTGTTATATTGCATTTTTCGATCTTCCTTTTATAGTGATACTGTTATATATATATTAATTAATATATATTCGAATATATATAACAGAAAAAAGTTCCTTTGTTCAATATTAGTTTCCCTTTTATATTTTGTTCTCTCTCTTGTAAATCAATAAATATAATGTTTAATTAATAATTATTGGAATCAGTTTCATTAATAATTCTAAGCAAAGTCAACAGATACTGTTGCTAGACTCTTGGAATGGGTATTTTAGAAGAACTATAGATATAAACTTAAGTATATATGAATTTAAAAATATTTCAATGATTTTATTATAATATAGCCAGTTTATATAATATTATAAAAACGTTACCGTATTTGCATGATATCGCCTGATCAAAAATTGTTAAATAATTATAAAGTTGCATATCTTGAGGCATTTTTACGATGTGCAAATTTTTATCGAAATTGTAGATACTTGTTTCAGGGGTATTAAACTTTTTTTTTTTTTTAATTATTATTGTCAGTGTAAATTCCCCCCCCCCCACTTTTAAAATAATTATTGACATTTGACAATTTAATTTGTTTCGAATTGTAAATACATTCTAAACTTTCTACAAAATCTGGATCTCCAATGTTTTCATGCGTTGAATAATGTAAATAACTTATGTAAATAAACTTTTCTCCTTGTTTGGCACAAGTATCCCTTGCGGGATATAGCGCTTTGGAAATAAAATAATTGTAATAATTGTAATTATAATAATTTAACAAGATAATTTTGAATAACATTTGTTGGTTTGGAAGTTTGTTTGGAAAAATATATGGTTACATCAGCTAATTATGTATTCAGTTTCTGATGTTTCTCAGTAACTCGTTGTCACTATGTTCAAATATTTTCTCCAACAGACCTTACACCAATGATAAACATATGAGATTATCGATTGGAAAAACCCCGTACAATTTATAAACGAATAAAATAAGGCATCAAGGGCTGCGTATCTTTATTAGAACGACAATATTATGAGCTTTACAATATTATTTTATTAATACCTGTAGAAGGGCGTATGTGCCCGAAAGCTCGTAATAGTGTCGTTCTAATAAAGATACGCAGCCCTTGATGCCTTATTTTATTCGTTTATATGAGATTATCCAATAATTTTCATCACGCAGTGAGGTCTGTTGGGATAATGTTTTATAATACAGTCATAGATAATTCGAAGCACAAGGAACCAAAAAAAAAAATTCGAATTATTCATAAATTCGAAATAAAAACAGAAATTCTATTTATAGGAAATTCTAGGGACGAAGATAAATATTTGAATTAAGGATGTTTAAGAATTATCCAAGTTCTACTGTAGACAATTGACAATTAAAATAATTAACACAAAGCAATAACGCGCCATCTATACATATAAAATAAAAGGATTTAAAAGCGCGAATGTTTCTTTTATACATAAAACGAACTTCTACTGTCCTTACTGCGATGAAAAAATATATTGGGAGGGCTTGGCTCATCAGTGGTGAACCCTCCCAGCGGTTTCGCCAATTTAATCCACCAGACCGCTTTTCAGAGCTCTAATATTGTATTGGATCATTCTGCTTTTATATGCTACACTGAAGGATGGAATCTTAGAAATGGTTTTGGTATAAAATTAAAAATGGAAATGGTAATTTTATTATTGACATCTTGTCAATACATGCAAAGTCCACAGTCTGCACTATTTAAAAAAAAAAGATAATATGGATTATATACACTATGTACAATGAATATGGCGCTTCTGCCAGCGCTGCAGAGTTTGGTGGAGAATGGCCAGCAGGTCTCCAGCGACACCACGTATTTCGTGATCTACGAAGAATACGTAGATCGCGTACTTCGCTGTTCTACTGTATATATATAAACGTATTTACCTGATTTATAAATGTTATGAAATATATAAAGCTTCCAGGGTTAAGTTTCTTGTTCAACTTTTTATTTTCAAACTTTCGAACTTGTCATTTATTTATTTATTTAAACACACAAACGCGATATCCCGGCTAGGGATAATTGTGTCGATTTACATTTTTTAAACAGAAAAAGTTATAAAATTTTTACAAAAAAAAAGTAATCGAAATAAAAAGAGAAAAAAATATATATATATATTAGGAACCTGAACCTTTCAGGTTTGAAAGAAAATCATGAATATATTTACAAAAATAATTAAACTTATGATAATTCTCTCTGCTATTTACAAATTGATATAGATTTACAACATTATTTATTGTCTGTGGTCTAGCGGTGAAGAAGAGTGGACATTCCAGCAACTTGTCATTCTTTCAAATTTATCATCAATTTATTAACGTAATAATCCTGTTGAAGGACTGACAATTCCGAAAGCTTGAAAATAAAAAGTTGAACAAGAAACTTAGCCTTGGAAGCTTTATATATTTTATAACGGTATATATATGATATTATAAAATGGAGAGAGAGAGAATAAAACATTTCATAGGTTAGAAGTGACAAGGAATGCTACGGTCCTAGAAAAAAGGTGCTGGTGCGGCTCGACCAATGAGATTATCGACGGTATTTCGTTTAATACCAAAACCAAACTGTCTTTAATTGTCTGACTTTAGTTACGGTTACTTAACCAAATGTATTTAACATGTCCCAGGATTTTTTATAGTAGGGTTGTTCCCTATGGGGTCAAAAGTCAGACCTTTGAATTTCGCCACTATGTAAATAATATGAAGCCAGCTTGTCATGTCTATTTCTGGGGTTGTCAGCCTTCATCTAACTTTATTCTGGTTACATACAAGTTACATAGTTACATATGTGCATTATATAAATAAAAAATGATAAGATTTCTGTTATCTTGAGGATTATTCTATGTTAATGCAGTCGTGGTTGAAAATCTTGAAAGTATGATAAAAATAGTTTTGATCAGTAATTGCTTTAATTAGCTTATGGAATATAGAAAAAAATAAACATAGTTTGATAAAAGTACTGCCTGGCTTAAGGCATAAGAATAAAAAAAAATGAAATACTTATTTACATAATGTACAAAAGTTTGAGCTGGCCAACGGGAAACAAACAACAATGAGTTTTTATAGGGAAAGTCCCGACATCTGGTGGTAGATATAAACAATATTTGAATCTATGAAATATAATTTCAAATAAAATAATATTTTTATATAACATATACATAGTTACATATGTACATAGTTACATATAATGGGGGATATTTTTATTTTTATTGTCACGGT